GTAGTTTGGTACCGGTTAGATTTAACGGTACTTACATATCGGGTGAGAAAATTAAATTTTTTTATTTTATTTTTAATACGAAATTAACGACGATGAAAATTAATTATTAATTTTTTTTTTTTTTTTTGTTTTAGATACTGAAATTTTGTTTAAACGTCACAAAAATGAAATCGTTTTGTACGATGTCGTACAAAGAAAAATGGAAGTTCTTTTGTCTGGGGATCCGGTGAGTTCAAAAATAAATAATAATAATAATATTTACTTAATAAGGCTGCGTGACAAATCGGTCGTTGGCAAATGAATGACATTGCCAAAATTTAAAATAGTATACCAGTTAGCGGTATTTATTCATTTACATCTCATCTTTTACAGATAATAGAATCAGCTCTATCTTTTCAATTATCAGCGGATAGAAATTATTTATTTGTTGCTCACACGTTTCAAAATTTGTACAGATATTCTTTCATAGCTCACTATGACATATACAACCTTAAAACTAGGTATATTTAAATACTTTGTATGAATAAACGAGGATAAATCATGTGTGATTTACGTGTTTGTTTTTTATTGTTAAGGCAAAAATTTCCTTTGTCGGTGAGCGAGGATTTAAAATTAATATTACTTGCTCAATGGGCCCCAGTCGGAAATGGTATAGCATTCGTTTTACACGACAATCTTGATATTTATTACAAGTCTACGCCGGAAAGTACAGCTTATCGGGTCACAAATACTGGATTACCCACGGTTATTTACAATGGAGTTCCTGATTGGGTTAATGAAGGTATTTATTTGTTATTAATTTACGAAAAAAAAAAATTTTTTTAATTGCTACATCTTTTTTAATTGTTTTTAATTTTAGAGGAAGTTTTCAACTCGAATGTCGCCATGTGGTTTTCAAAAGATGGTAAAAAATTAGCTTTTGCCAGTTTTAATGATTCTCTCACACGCGTCATGTCCATACCTTTTTACGGATTGCCTGGAAATTTAGATTTTCAATATTCCAGAGCTGTGAACATACGTTATCCCAAAGTAATTATAAATTTTAATAATAAAAAAAAGAAAATTTTAATACTTGGGTATTAATTTAATTTAAAAAAAAAAAAAAAACTTTTTTAGCCTGGTTCCCCCAATCCTACGGTCAGCCTACACATTGCACATTTGGAAGATGTGAATCAAGGATTGATAAAAGTTTTAGAAGTTCCACCACCCAACGAATTAAAACTAGCAGAACCAATTTTGACAGCTGTTACGTGGCCTGATGAAGATCAACTTTCGGCTGTTTGGATGAACAGAGTTCAAAATATGAGTTATTTGACTTTGTGCAATTCGAAACAAAGCGATTGTAGAAATGTAAGTAAAAAAAAAAGCCATCGATTTCATTTAATTACTTCTTGTTGACATATAAATTTAATTAATTTCTTTTTTTTTATTTGCAGATTTTAACTATTATGGAAGACAAAGGTTGGGTGGAACTTTTTGTACCACCTCTTTTCTCTTCAGATGCATCGAAAATGGCACTAATTTTACCACAAAATCAGGGTGCAGATGGTGATTTTCGTCATGCTTGCTTAGCTGAAAAAAGAGGAGCCACATCCGAATATATAGTGAAACCGTTAACAAAAGGAAAATATACTGTTACCGATATATTATTCTACGATGACGTGCGAAACTTGGTGTAAGCAATGATAAATTTAAAAAATGATCAAACCCGAGAAATAAATTAAAAAAGTTTTTTTATTTTTTTTCAGGTATTATTTGGCGACGGCTGAAAATCATCCAGAACAACTTCATCTTTATGTTGTATCTACAGATGGAAATAAAGATCCTGAATGTTTGTCTTGCAAAGTTAAAACAGAACTTGAAAATAAATCATGCCTTTATAATAGAGCCTTTTTTGGTAAAAAGGGATCAACCACTTACGCTTTATCCTGTCTCGGACCGGGAATTCCAGAGATTTCAATTTTCGATATGAATAATAATAAATTAATGACTTGGGAAAACAATGAATTTATTAAAAATAAATTAAGCGCCAAAGTATTACCAACAATTGAAAGATTAACCGTACCTGTTTCTGGCGGTTTTAATGCTGTTGTTGTTTTATTTTTACCACCGAATATTGACAAATCAGGAAGTACCAAATATCCGCTCTTAGTCAACGTGTAAGAAGATAAATTCGAATAATAATAATAATATTATTTTCTAACGTCGTCTCATACTTATTTTAATGTATTTGTGTAGTTATGCCGGTCCTGATTCGTATCAAGCCACTGAAAAGTTTAACGCGGATTGGAATTCTTATCTCACGAGTAATAAAAGTATTATTTGCGCTACAATAGATGGACGTGGTTCAGGTCTTAAAGGAAATAAAATGTTGTTTTCTATATATCGAAGATTGGGTACATACGAAATCGAAGATCAAATCGAAGTGACGAAGTAAGTTTTTAACTTTTGAAGCCTGATTATAAATAAAACTCAAAACTTATTTTTATTGACGTTTTTAATTTCAGTTATCTTCAACAAAACTATCCATACATAGATTCAGATAGAACTGCCATTTGGGGATGGAGTTATGGAGGATATGCCACTGCCATGGCACTCGCTCAAGATAGATCTAAAGTTTTTAAATGTGGTATATCTGTTGCACCTGTCACTGATTGGGCTTATTACGGTAAGCGATTTACAATTGTAAAATAATAATGTTTTTTTCTTTTTTTTTCTAAGCAAATTGTTTTTTTTTTTTTCAGATACTATTTATACTGAAAGGTACATGGGTTTACCCAGAAGAGATGATAATCTCCTTGGTTACGCCGAAGCTCAATTAAATGATAAAGTTGAAAACATTCGAACCAAACAATTTTATCTTGTTCATGGCACTCTAGATGATAATGTACATTATCAACAAAGTATGATGTTGTCAAAAGCATTATCACAAAGCGACATTCTTTTCCAACAACAGGTACAACATATATATATAACCAATATAACAAGTTTTTAAAATATTTAATTGATTCAATCATAAATTTTTATATTTTCAGACTTATCCAGATGAAGAACATGGTCTCGCTGGGGTAAGACCTCATTTATACCATTCATTAGAAAAGTTCCTTGATAAATGTTTTGATTTGAAGTGAAAACAAAAACAAAAAAAGAAAAAAATATTAATTTAATTTTAATAATTTAACACAAAAAAAAAAAAAAAAATTTCAAACTGAGAGTCAATAATCTTTTGTATTTTTTTAAATGTGTGTGATTGATTGCTTATTTTTTATAATTTAATAATAGTTTTTACCTTATAAAATTGTACTTAGTGAAATGAATGAAGTCAAGTTTACCGAGTTTGATCTCTTAAAAAACAAAAAAAAATGTTATTTATAATTCAACAACAACAGAGGGGAAAAGAAGTGCTGAACATGAGTCTTATGTTTAAGAAAGAGTTGAAAACTACACATTAATAAATTTATTAAATAGTTTAAAGAAAAAGAACATAAAAACCAATTAAAACTTAGTATTAAAAATAAAAACATCATGATAATGATAAATCTATGATGGAAATACAAGATCCACACAAATCGAGACTTTAAAAAAGACCAACATTAAGATTAATAATTATAAATTGATGGTAATAAAATTTAAATTTATCATTTATGGAAAATGATCTGCTTGTAGTTGGCTATATATGTATTTATATATTAGAATAAGTAAAAGGAAAAGGCTAACACAATAATGAAAATTTAGTATTGCTTGTGAAAACTAATAAAACGAATATATGAGGAACCATTATTATATTGGTTTAAACAATTAACTTCAGTAAGGAAAATTCTTTTTCTTTTTTTTTTTTTTGTTTTTTAATATGTGAATTTAAAAAAAAAAATTTTTATAAAATTTTTACAAAATTTTTATTACTATAATTTTATTTAATTTTTTTTTTTGTAACAATATAAAAGTAAAAAAAAAAAAATTTAATAATGATTTTTATATTATTTAAATGTTAATAGGGTATATTGATTGATAAAACAGCCCTTTTAATTTATCATACATAACAAAATATAAACAAATATAAACGCCAGGAAGAAACAATTTCATGAATTTTCAGTTTCTTTATATCTAAAAAAAAATTAATTAAAAAAATTTTTTTTTTTTTTGTTTGTCATGAAGGTAATAGAAAATTTGAATATTTTATTAAATCTAATACTAACCCACACTTTGTACATGTATAAAAAACTGTTTGCCCCTCATCGGCTGATCTCAGTTGGAGAGTTGCATAGGACATTATGTCATTTCCACATTTTGAACATTTTCTTTCTACAACAGGCCCTTCATTTTTCTGCATTTTTCTCTGATTAAAATTTTCAGTTTCTTTATAACCATAAGGAGATCTAAATTTAATCTGATAGTGACTTTCCATTGCTCCAAATGCTGCAAAATATGTAAAAACAACCTTCAACATAAACAATATAATTTTGTTTAAAAGTTTAATTAGCAATTTCAACAGTTAAACAGAAGTTTCTGCAAACAAAATTGTTTTTCATTTATTTATTACTTTGAAAATATACAGAAAAATTTATTAATACATTTAATGTCTGTCACTAAAATTGAAATGTAATTACAAAAAAAATAATTTTGTTATTTGAATTGAAAAAGTATATGTAACTTTAATACAATAAATAAAACTAACCAAAGCATATCACACTAACCTTCAGGTCCGTATTCAAATTTGCACATAAAACATTTGACAACGGCCGAATCGTCTAACATTGGTAAAATACTTCCGCAATTCCAACAAAATCCTTTTTCTCCCTCGAACGTGTTTTTAAAATCAGCCATTTTAAAATGAAATTTTTATCCCGCTAACAAGAACATGGAGAATCGTAAAATAATAAAATGGCTAAATATATCACCATTAATGTAATTGCAGCACAAATTATTTCTTCTAAAACTGGCATGACATTTTAAAAGTTTTCATTTGATTAAAATAATTATTTGATTTTAATTACTACTTAAATTTTTCTCGAAATAATTTCCAAAAATTAATTTTGTTTACGGTGAGTTTGTTTAACATCAAAAATTTAATTTATTTGTGAAAGGTAGTAAAGCAATAAGTTTCCATTCTAAAATTTCGTTTTCATAAGTTGTCGCTGAGAACGCTTTTTGGTATATTCAAAATTTTTAACTGAAATTCTATTATCCTCAATAATGTTGATGTCTTATAATAATTTAGGTCAAAGTTATGGCAATTTTAAATTAATTGCTTTCGAAAAAGTTAATGGAATTATTAATGTTTCTAAATTTAGGTCTAATAAAACCGGGTTGACCGTTGTTGTTGCTCAAGTCGAAGGCCCAGTTGTCAATGGATATTTTGCATTAGGTTATTTTTAAACCTTAATTTTTGTTATATATTAAATTTTAATGAACTTAACAAAAAAAATTATGATCTTGTAGAGATTCATTTTACGTTTTCGATTTTTTTACAACTAAAATTTTTAGAAAAATTGTTCAATGCAAAGTGTCTACCAATCTTAGATACTTGAGATCGCAGAACTCACTTTTCAATTTTTAATTTTTTAAAATTAAGTTTAAAATTTTTCCAATTGAATTTTTCAATTATTTGCATTACAATTATGTTTTGTGTAATTAATTACAACATACTGTTTATAAACATTTCGATTTTACCCCCCCCCCCTTCTTGACAGCATTTACGTAATAATGCTTAATCTTTAAAAAATAGTTGTAACACGTTTTAAAATAAAAGTTTATATTTTTACAGCTACTGAAGCATTAGATGATGATGGCTTGCCCCACACTTTAGAGCATATGATATTTCTCGGAAGTGAAGATTATCCTTATAAAGGTGTATTAGATTTGCTTGCGAATAGAATGCTTGCTCCTGGTTCTAATGCTTGGACTGATATAGATCACACATGTTATACTGTTACAACTGCAGGAAGTGAAGGATTTTTGTCTTTGATGCCAATTTATATAGATCACATTTTATATCCAGTCTTAAATGTAATTTTTATAATTTCGATTGCAAAAAAAATTCATTAAAAAAAAAAAACAAAATGAATTTCAATCAATGCTTAATTTTTTAGGACTCAGCTTTCATAACAGAAGTTCATCATATTAATGGAGAAGGAAAAGATGCTGGTGTAGTTTACTGTGAAGAAGAAGGAATGGAAAACAGTGGCGAACATAGAGTTTTTTTAGAATTATTAAGGAAATTGTACCCAGGAGAATGTGGATACAAGTCAAATGTTGGTGGAAGTTTAAAAAATTTAAGAGAAAGCACAGATAATATAAAAGTACACATAAATATTCATTATTAAGTTGCTTTTAGTTGTTTTTAAAAAACATTTTTGCTATTATAATTAATTTTCTTTGACAGATTCATAATTTTCACAGACAGTTTTATAGACCGGAAAATTTAACTTTAATCATTACTGGTCAAATTGATGAAAAAAATTTATTTGACTCCCTTGAACCAGTAGAAAACAAAATTATATCAAAAGGAACATTAGCACCATTTCAAAGACCATGGCAAAACCCAATTCCTCCTTTCTCTAAATCTGTTGATTCCTTAATTCTTTATCCTAATGATTTAGAAGATAACGGGATTGTTAATATAGGATGGAGAGGTCCTTCTGCTGTTCATTTGTATTATGAGTAAGTGTTTATTTAATATTTTATGTTGAGAAAACACTTTACATTTTATTTAATGAAATAAAAATATTTTTTTATACATTTAATGATTTTTCTTTTAGAATGTCTGCTTGTTCAACATTACTTCGATATTTGACTGACACTTCAATCAGTTGGCTTCAAAAAGAATTTGTCGAAATTGATGATCCCTTTGCTAGTACGGTAAGTATTAATATTTTATTGCAGTATTAAAAATTGTGTATTTGATTTTGATTTTACATTGTTTAGGTTACATTTTCCCTACAAGAGAATTCAATACCAGTATTTTATATGATTTTTGAAAATGTTCCTTTAAATAAATTAGAATTAATACGTCCGAAATTAGAAAAAAGTCTTTTAAACTTTTATGAAAGTGATGATTCACTTAGTTTGCCTAGATTAAAATCATTAATAGAAAAACAAAAGGCGGAAACTTTAACTTCCTTAGAAAACCAGCCTCATGATTCCATTGCTTTTATGATTATTGGCGATATGCTGCACGGAAATACCACAGAAGACGTTAGTAATATTTTTTTTTTTTTTTTTTTTTTTACTTAAATGACTTTTATTTTTTAACTTTAAAACTTTTCAAAAAATACAATTACAGATTTTTTCTTTTAGCTGAAAAGAAGATTAAATGCAAAAGATTTGCTCAATAGAATGCTTATCGAACCAAAAGATTTCTGGAAAAGACTTTTGAAAAAATATTTTATTGATTCGCCCAAAGTAACCGTAATGGGAAAAGCTAGCAAAAAGGAACAGGAAGAACTAACAAGAATGGAAAACGAAAGAATTGCTAAGCAAATTGAAGCTCTCGGTCCTGAAGGACTTGGAGTTAAACACAAGATTTTAACCGAAGCTATAAAAATAAATGAAATCCAACCTCCAGTAGAAGTACTTACAAAATTACCTATTCCAGACACAAATAAAATTAGCTTCCATTCTATAAAAAGCTACACTTCGGATTTTAAAGATAATGAAAAAATTAATTTTTCCAAAGCTCCTGTTTATATGTATATTGACGATCTTAAAACAAATTTCGTTTATGTATGTATTCAAAATAATTTTCAATTTTTATTTAATTAATTTTATTTGATATCGATTATAATATTGTGATTTCAGATGCTTGTTATTATGAATACAAAATCTCTTTCTTTAGAATTGCGGCCTTATCTACCTCTATTTTTAGAACTCATTCTGGAATCTCCAGTACAAAGAGATGACTCGATAATAAAACACGAGCAAGTTGTAGAAGAACTAGAAGCAGAAACAATATCAGTTTCTACTAAAATCGGTATAGAAGCCATGTCCAGAAGATTTTCTTGCGGTTCCTATTGCCATTCTGCAAATTTAGCTTTACAAGTAAATAAATGACATTAAACAATTTTTTTTTTTTCTTTTAAATACAATGCCTTAAAATTGAATGATTATTAGGTAGAACCTTCAAAATACCAAGAAGGTATTAAATGGCTCAGAGAATTGTTATACAGCACGGTATTTACAAAAGAAAGGCTTCAAATAGTCGCGACTAAAATAATCAATGATGTACCTCAGTGGAAAAGAAAAGGAAGCAAAATAGTTTATGATTTAATGAAAGCAATGCGTTATAACGAAGGTAATATTTTATTTTATTTCTTTGTAATAAAATTACTAATAATTTACTACATGACTTTTTTTTTTTTTTTTTTTTTTTTTTTTTTTTGTTTTCAGGTAGTAACCATTATTGGAATAGTTTACTTCGACAACAAAAATTCTTAACCGATATCGTCGAAAAACTTAAATCACCTGCGGAAGCGGAAGTAATTTTTAGGGAACTTGACGCCGTGAGAATGCTTTTAACTGCTCCCGGAAATATGGCCGTTTATATGGCTGCCAACTTGGATAATCTGGCCACACTTTATCCGGACATTATTGAACCTTGGTCGAAACTTTTACCAAAGAGCATCGAGCCTGTCAAAATGAAGTTTGTTTTTTACGATGTTTTATTTAAAAAAAAAAAACTACCCAATGAAAAATTAATTTAATAGTATAATTTTTTTTTTTTTTTTAGATATTCTGTAGTCAGTGATTATTTATATACAAACAACAATGAAAATTCAAATATTCAAAATTGTATAGTAGGTTTAGGCTGCATTGATTCTGCTTTTTTATGTCAAACTGTCAAGGGAATCACCGATTATAATGATCCCGACTTGCCAGCCTTATTAGTATTCATACAATATTTAACTCAAGTGGAGGTCAGTTGACATTTTTTTTTATTTCCATTTTAAAAATTATCATTTCCCAAATTTTATGTCATTGATTGGCAAAACTAACTTAAAACTTATTTGAGGAATCCTGAAAACTTTTAGTATCCTTACCGACGATGTGAGTTTTTTATCAAATCATGAAAGAAAAAAAATCAATTTTTTTTTTTTTTTTTCTCCGTAGGGTCCTCTTTGGCGACAAATTCGAGGTCAAGGATTGTCTTACAGTTACAATATTAGTTTTAAACCAAACGAAGGACTTCTTTATTTGACGTTTTATCGTTCCACCCATATTTTTGCCACATACAATGAAACTAAAAAAATATTGGAAAGTTACTTTGACGAATCTTGTAAACTCGAAGGGACGCTAATAGATTCAGCTAAAAGCTCGCTCATATTTGAAATAATCGAAGCTGAAAAAAACATCGGGGATGTAGTTTTAGAATCAATATTATCCTATTTCAAAAATGTCGATCATAATTACAATAAGTGAGTTTAAAAAGAAAAGAAAAGACAAATATCGATTGATTACGTTCGAGAGGAAATAATTTGTTTTTTTTTTTTTTTTTTTTGTTTAGAAATTTAGTTGCTAAAGTATTCAAAGTAACGTCGGATGAAATGTTGAAAGTTGGAAAAAAATACGTTTCGCCATTATTCGATACGAAGAATGAGGAGAGTAAAATGAGCATTGTATGTCATCCATCGAAAATATCAGGAATCGTTGAAAAATTTCAACAGTAAGTAATAATAATTTTATTTTTATTTTTTTTTTTCTTATCGAGTCTTGAAAGGAATCTTTTATGAAAAATGAAACGGTCAAGTATCGGATAATCTATTATTTTTTTTTTTTTTTTTTTTAGATTAAACGTCAAATTAACTGTTTACAAAAATCTGGAAGAAACTTTTTTAAGTAATTGATTTTTTTTTTTTTTTTTGTTGATTTTTCACGAATTTTTTGGGGTTTTTTTTTTTTTTTTTTTTTGCTACTTTTCGTTGGAGTCCAGGTTTTACAATATTTTCTAACAATTCTATCAGTTTTAAATTCGACTTGGAAAATTTATTTTATACAGTAATTCAAGTATTTTTTTTTTTTTTTAAATATTTTTATTTAAAAAGTATCGTTGTAAAACGTCTTGTCCTTTTCTTATATTATCTTAAAAAAATTAAAAAAAAATTTGATTTTAATTTTTTTAAATTTAAATTTAAATTTAAATTTAATTTTATTCGGGATTCGGGTGTAAAATTTTTTTAATTCTTTGCCCAATTTATTATTTTAATGTGAATTTGTAAAAACATTTGTTTGCCACGATTTTGGCTCATAATACTTTGTCTTTTGTAATTAGTAAATTTTTTTAGCACTTTGATTACAAAAAAAAATTTTTTTTTTTTTTTTTTTTTTTCTTAATGCCAACATTAATCAATTAGCATTATTTCATGTAAAAGAACCGTGAAATTAAAAAATTTAAAATTTAAAAAAAAGCTCAATAAGATTTTTGTTTTGCCTTCTTGTAATATTTTTTACAAAAAGAAAAAACTGAAACTTTTAATTTAATAATTTTCCGGGAAATAGTTATTCATTTTATTTATTTAATTAATTTATAATTTTCTATTAAATGGGTAAAGAGTAATTTTTTAAAAAGGGAATTCCCCCTTTTATATATATATATATATATATATATTATTAAACTAAAAAAATTTGAGTTCAATGAACCTAAATAATAATTTTAATTTGAAATGGTTATATTAAAATAAGGAAAATTTTAACCCGGGTCAAATAATATCAATTTTCCCTTATTTAAGAGATTAACTGCATTTGTTGTTTTATTTATTATATATATTTGCGTATTTAAATTTTTATTTAAAATTTTTTTTTTTTTTTTCCTTATAATAACTTTACGGAGGAAAATAATTTTTCTACTTAATGCGTAAATAAAGTTTTCAATTTAAAAAACTACCAAAACTTTTATATTTACGTTAATTATTATTATTATTACTACCTCGTTATTATGTTAATAATTTCCTGTACGTTATGGGAAAACTCGTGGAAAATTTCCTAGAACGGGGAAAAATCGAAATTTTTCTTACTACTACTATTTGTGCGTACAATTAAATTATTCACGGTTTTCTGGTTTTTAAAATTATAAATAATAATAATAATGATAATGATAATAGATTTAAATCTATTAATTTATCCTTGCCCTTTCTTGTTCTTCTTTTTAATTTATCTATAAATGTAATTTTATAAATTTAATCTGATATAAATAATAATAATAATAATAATAATAATAATTTTTCAACACTGATTGATGATTATATTACACTCGTAATAATTAATAATAATTAACACTTTTTTTTTTTATTACGCAAAATAATTACGATTGTTTATAACAAAG